GACATACACATGGGGAGTGGTAAGACATACACGTGGGGGAGGAAAACAGCACACGTGGGGAGTAGTAAGACATACACGGGGAGGTAAGACATACACGTGGGGAGGTAAGACATACAGGTGGGGGAGGTAAGACATACATGGGAGGTAAGACATACATGTGGAGTAAAACATTGTACACGTGGGATAGTAAGACATAGGCTAATGGGAGGTAAGACAGACACGTGGGAGGTAAGACATACACATGGGGAGGTAAGACAGACACATGGGGAGGTAAGACATCAATATTGGGGAGGTAAGACATACGCGTGGTAGGTAAGACAGACATATGGGGGAGAATACATATACGTGGGGAGGTAAGAGACAGACACATGGGAGGTAAGACATACACGTGGGGGGAGGTAAGACAGGACACGTGGGGGAGGTGGGGGCATTGGTGACATATGGGGTGGCTATACATGTGGGGAGTAAATATATACACATGGGGAGGTAAGATAGACACATGGGGAGTAACACATACATGTGGGGAGGTAAGACATACACGGGGAGGTAAAACATACACGTGGGGAGTAAGACATATACACGCGGGGAGGTAAGATTAGACAAATGGGGAGTAACACATACACGTGGGGGAGGTAAGACATACACATGGGGAGTGTAAGAAATACACGTGAGTGTAAGACAGTGACACGTAAGCAGGTAAGACAGACACATGGGGAGGTAAGACAGACATATGGGGAGTAAGACATACACGTGGGGGAGGTAAGACAGACACTTGGGGAGGTGCGACATACAATGTGGGGAGGTAAGACAGACACGTGGGGGAGGTAAGACAGACACATGGGGAGGTAAGACAGACATATGGGGGAGTAACACATACACATGGGGGGAGGTAAGATAGACACATGGAGATAAATACATACACGGGGAGGTAAGACATACACGTGGGGAGGTAAGACAGACACATGGGGAGTAACACATACACATGGGGAGGTAAGATAGACACATGGGAGAGTAACACATACACGTGGGGAGTAAGACATACACGGGGAGGTGCATATAAACGTGGGGGAGGTAAGACATACACGCGGGGAGGTAAGACAGACACATGAGTAACACATACACGTGGGGAGGTAAGACAGACACATGGGGAGGTAAGCATACAGACACATGGGGAGTAAATATTACACACTTGGGGGAAGTAAGACAGACACATGGGGAGGTAAGAGAGACGCATGGGGAGTAACACATACGCTGGGAGGTAAGATGACATATGGGGAGGTAAGACAGACACATGGGGAGTGTAAGACATACACGGGAGGTAAGACATACACATGGGGAGGTAAGACATACACGTGGGAGGTAAGATATACACGGGGAGTAAAACATACACGTGGGGAGGTAAGACATACACATGGGGGAGTGTGTAAGACATACACGTGGGGAGAGTAAAACATACACGTGGGAGGGGTAAGACATACACGTGGGGAGGTAAGACATGCACGTGGGGGAGGTAAGACATACAGGTGGGGGGAGGTAAGACATGGCTACCGTGGGGGAGGTAAGACATACACGGGGGGAGTAAAACATACACGTGGGGAGGTAAGACATACACGTGGGGAGGTAAGATGCACACGTGGGAGGTAAGACATACACATGGGGGGAGGTAAGAGACAGACACATGGGGAGGTAAGACAGACATGGGGAGGTAAGACATACAAGTGTGGTAGGTAAGACAGACATATGGGGAGTAACACATATGTACGTGGGGAGGTAAGACAGACACATGGGGAGGTAAGACATACACGTGGGGAGTGTAAGACAGACACGTGGGGAGGTACAGACATATGGGGTGGTTAGACAGGGGAGAACATATACACATGGGGAGTGTAAGAGGACACATGGGGAGTAAATACATACATGTGGGGAGGTAAGACATACACACGTGGGGGAGTAAAACATACACGTGGGGAGTGTAAGACATACACGCGGGGAGGTAAGATACAGACAAATGGGAAGCAACACATACACGTGGGAGGTAAGACAGACACACATGTGAGGTAAGAAATACACGGGAGGTAAGACAGACACGGGCAGGTAAGACAGACACATGGGGAGTGTAAGACAGACAAGGGGAGTAAGACATACACGTGGGGAGGTAAGACAGACACTTGGGAGGTGTGTAAGACATACACGGGGAGGTAAGACAGACACGTGGGGAGGTAAGACACACATGGGGAGGTAAGACAGACATATGGGGAGTAACACACATACACATGGGGGAGGTAAGATAGACACATGGAGATTAACACATACACGTGGGGAGGTAAGACATACACGTGGGAGGTAAGACAGACACATGGGGAGTAACACATACACATGGGAGGTAAGATAGACACATGGAGAGGCAACACATACACGGGGAGGTAGACATACACGTGGGGGAGGTAAGACATACACGTGGGGAGGTAAGACATACGGTCAGTGAGGTAAGACAGACACATGGGGAGTAAATACATACACGTGGAAGGTAAGACAGACACATGGGGAGGTAAGAGAGACGCATGGGGGAGGTAAGAGAGACGCATGGGGAGTAACACATACACTTGGGAAGTAAGACAGACACATGGGGAGGTAAGAGAGACGCATGGGAGGTAACACATACGCATGGGGAGGTGACAGACATATGGGAGGTAAGATGACACATGGGGAGGTAAGTCAGACACATTGGGGAGTAAATACATACACATGAGGAGGTAAGACAGACACATGGGGAGGTAAGACAGACATATGGGGAGGTAAGACAGACATGGGGAGTAACACATACACATGGGGAGGTAGGACATACACGTGGGGAGTAAACACACGTGGGGAGGTAAGACATACACGTGGGGAGGTAAGACATACACGTGGGAGGTAAGACAGACACACGTGGGGAGGTAAGACATACACGTGGGGAGGTGTAAGACATACACGGGGAGTGCAAGACATACACGTGGGGAGGTAAGACATACACGTGGGGAGGTAAGACATACACGTGTGGGAGGCAAAACATACACGTGGGGAGGTAAGACATACACGGGGAGGTAAGACATACACGTGGGGGAGGTAAGACATACACGGGGGAGGTAAGACATACACATGGGGAGGTAAGCAGACACATGGGGGGAGGTGTAAGACAGACACATGGGGAGGTAAGACAGACACATGGGGAGGTAAGACATACGCGTGGTGAGGTAAGCAGACACATGGGGGGAGGCAAGACAGCATCACATGGGGAGGTAAGACAGACACATGGGGAGGTAAGACATACGCGTGGGGAGGTAAGACAGACACATGGGGAGGTAAGACATACACGTGGGAGGTAAGAGACAGACTCATGGGGAGTGTAAGACATACACGTGGGGAGGTGTAAGATGACACGGGGAGGTAAGACATACACGGGAGGTAAGACAGACACGTGGGGAGGTAAAAGACAGACATATGGGGTGGTAAGACACACGTGGGGGAGTGCACATACACATGGGGAGGTAAGACATAATGTGGGGGAGGTAAGACAGACACATGGGGAGGTAAGACATACACGTGGGGAGGTAAGACAGACACATGGGGGAGGTAAGACAGACATATGGGGTGGTAAGACAGACACGTGGGGAGTAACACATACACATGGGAGGTAAGATAGACACATGGGGAGTAACACATACACGTGGGGAGGGTAAGCAAGATACACGGGGAGAAACATACACGTAGGGAGGTAAGACATACACGCGGGGAGGTAAGACAGACAAATGGGAGTAAATACATACACGTGGGAGGTAAGACAGACACATGGGGGAGGTAAGAAATACACGTGGGGAGAGGTAAGACAGACACGTGGGGAGGTAAGCATGCACACATGGGGAGGTAAGACAGACAAGTGGGAGTAAGACATACACGTGGGGAGGTGAGACATGACACATGGGGGAGGTAGCACATATTAATGGGAGTAAGACAGACACGTGGGGAGGTAAGACAGACACATGGGGAGTGTACAAGACAGACATATGGGGAGTAACACATACACGTGGGAGGTTAGGACAGACACATGGGGGAGCAACACATACACATGGGGAGGTAAGATAGGACACGTGGGGGAGTAAGACATACACGGGAGGTAAGACAGACACATGGGGAGCAAATAATATACCACATGGGGAGGTAAGACAGACACATGGGGAGGTAAGAGAGGACGCATGGGGAGTGTAAGAGAGACGCATGGGGAGTAACACACACTTGGGAAGTAAGACAGACACATGGGGGAGGTAAGAGACGCATGGGGAGTAACACATAGCCATGGGGAGGTAAGACAGACACATGGGGGAGGTAAGACAGACACATGGGAGGTAAGTCAGACACATGGGGAGTAAATACATACACATCAGGGAGGTAAGACAGACACATGGGGAGGTAAGACAGACACATGGGGGAGGTAAGACAGACACATGGGGAGTAAATACATACACATGGGGAGGTAAGACAGACACATGGGGAGTAACACATACACTTGAGGAGGTAAGACAGACACATGGGGAGTAAATACATACACTTGGGGAGTAAGACAGACACATGGGGAGTAACACATACACGTGGGGAGGTAAGACATTCACGTGGGGAGTAAAACATACACAAAAGTGGAGTGTAAAGACATACACGTGGGGAGGTAAGACAGACACATGGGGGAGTAAATACATACACGGGGAGGTAAGACTTACACGTGGGAGTAAAACATACACGTGGGGAGGTAAGCATACACATGGGGAGGTAAGACAGACATGGGGGAGTAACACATACACATGGGGAGGTAAGAGACACATGGGGGAGTAACACATACACATGGGGAGGTAAGACAGACATATGGGGAGCAAGAAAGACACATGGGGAGGTAAGATTAGACACATGGGTAGGAAAAGACAGACACATGGGGAGGTAATACAGACAGATGGGGAGTAAATTACTGCGACATGGGGAGGTAAGGCAGACACATGGGGAGGAAAAGACAGACACATGGGGAGGTAAGACAGACACATGGGGGAGTAAACACATTAATGGGAGGCAAGACAGACACATGGGGAGTAAACATACACGTGGGGAGGTAAGCACACACATGGGGAGTAAACACATACACATGGGGAGGTAAGACAGACACATGGGGAGGTAAGGACATTCCTCGTGTCTCTGCTGGTGTGTTTCCAGTGAAGCCGCAACCATCCAGCCTCCAGGAGCACCTGCCACCCAGCCTCCAGGAGCACCACACCCAGCCTCCGGGGCACCATCCAGCCTCCAGGAGCACCACACCTAGCCTCCGGGGCACCACACCAGCCTCCATAGGGCACCACCCAGCCTCCAGGAGCACCACCCAGCCTCCAGGAGTGCCCCACCCAGCCCAGGAGCACCACCCAGCCTCCAGGAGCACCACACCCAGCCTCCAGGGGCACCATCCAGCCTCCGGGGCACCCATCCAGCTCCAGGAGCACCACCCAGCCTCCTGGCAATTCATCCAGCCTCCAGGGGCACCATATCCAGCCTCCAGGGAGCAATCTCACCCAGCCTCCAGGAGTAACCACTCCAGCCTCCAGGAAGCACCATCCAGCCTCCGTGGCACCCATCCAGCTTCCGGGAGCACCATCCAGCCTCCAGGGAAACCAGGCAACCTCCAGGGGAAACCATATATCTAGCTTCCAGGAAAACCACACAGCCTCCGGGGCACCACTCAGTTTCCAGGAGCACCACCCAGTTTCCAGGAGCACCACCCAGCCTCCAGGGGCACCACCCAACCTCCAGGAGCACCACCCAGCCTCCAGGAGCAATCTCACCCAGCCTCCGGGGCACCCATCCAGCCTCCGTGGGCACCACCCAGCCTCCGGGAACACCCAGCCTCCAGGGAAACCAGGCAACCTCGAGGGAAACCATCTAGCTCCAGGAAAACCACACACTCCGGGGCACCACTCAGTTTCCAGGAGCACCACGCAGTTTCCAGGAGCACCACCTGTCCAGCACTACACCCAACCTCGGGGCACCACCCAGAATCCAGGAGCACCACCCAGTCCCTCCGAGCACCACCGGAGCCCAGGCACCACCCAGTCCTCCGGGAGCACCAATCGAGCCTCCGAGCACCACCCAGCCCAGGGGCACCATCCAGCCTCCGGGGCACCACTCCAACCCGGGGCACCACCCAGAATCCAGGAGCACCACCCAGTCCTCCGGGAGCACCACCCAGTCCTCCGGGAGCACCACCGAAAGCCTCCGAGCACCACCCAGTCCTCCGGGAGCACCACTGAGCCTCCGGGAGCACCACCCAGCTCCAGGGCACCATCCAGCCTCCGGGGGCACCACCCAGCCTCCGGGAGCACCACCCAGCCCAGGCCACCCACCCAGCCTCCAGCAGAGCACCACACCCAGCCTCCAGTAGCACCACCGAGCCTCCAGGGGCCACCACCCAGCCTCCGGGAGCACCACCCAGCCTCCAGGGGCACCATCCAGCCTCTCCGGAGCACCACCCAGCCTCCAGGAGCCCCACCCAGCCTCCAGGGCTACCACCACCCAGCCTCCAGGGGCACCCACCCAGCCTCCAGTAGCACCACCGAGCCTCCAGGGCCACAACCCAGCCTCCGGGAGCCACCACCCAGCCTCCAGGCCACCACCCAGCCTCCAGGAGCAATCTCACCGAGCCCAGGGCCACCACCCAGCCTCCAGGAGTGCCCACCGAGCCTCCAGGGCCACCCACCCAGCCTCCAGGGCCACCACACCCAGCCCTCCAGGGAGTACCCACCCAGCCTCCAGCGCCACCTCACCCAGCCTCCGGGGCACCACCGAGCCTCCGGGAGCAATCTCACCCAGCCTCCAGGAGTACCACCCAGCCCTCCGGTGAGCAATTCACCCAGCCTCCAGGAGTACCTCACACCCAGCCTCCAGGAGCACCCAGCCTCCAGGAGCACCCACCCAGCCTCCAGGAGCACCACCCAGCCTCCGGGAGCACCACCCAGCCCGAGGGCACCACCGAGCCTCCGGGACACCCTCACCCAGCTCCAGGAGTACCACCACCCAGCCTCCAGGAGCACCACCCAGCCCCTGGTGTGTGAGTACCACCCAGCCTCCAGGAGCACCACCCAGCCTCCAGGAGCGCACCCAGCCTCCAGGAGCACCACCCAGCTCCGGGAGCACCACCCAGCCTCCAGGAGCACCACCCAGCCTCCGGGAGCACCACCCAGCCTCCAGGAGCACCACCCAGCCTCCAGGGAGCACCCTACCCTGCCTGGGAGCACCCACCCAGCCTCCAGGGAGCACCACCCAGCCCAGGAGCAATCTCACCCAGCCTCCGGGAGCACCACCCAGCCTCCAGGAGCCCACCCAGTCGTGAGCAATTCACACCCAGCCTCCAGGAGCACCACCCAGCTTCCAGGAGCACCACCCAGCTCAGGAACACCACCCAGCTCCCGTGAACACCACACCCAGTCTCCAGGAGCACCACCCAGCCCAGGAGCACCACCCAGCCTCCCAGAGCACCACACCCAGCCTCCAGGAGCACCACCCAGCCTCCAGGAGCACCACCCAGCCTCCAGGAGCACCCACCCAGCCTCCCAGGAGCACCACCCAGCCTCTGAGCACCCTACCCAGCCTCCCCAGGGAGCACTCACCCAGCCTCTCTCCGGGGAGTACCACCCAGCCTCCAGGAGCACCATCCAGCCTCCAGGAGCACCACCAGCCTCCAGGAGCACCCTCACCCAGCCTCCAGAGCAATCTACCCAGCCTCCGGGAGCACCACCCAGCCTCCAGGAGCACTACCCAGCCTGGGAGCAATTGCCACCCAGGCCTCCTCCAGGAGGTCACCCAGCCTCCGGGAGCATCACCCAGCCTCCAGGAGCACCACCCAGCCTCCCAGGGAGCACCACCCAGCCTCCAGGAGCACCACCCAGCCTCCAGGAGCACCACTCCAGCCTCCAGGAGCACCACCCAGCCTCCGGGAGCAATTCACCCAGCCTCCAGGAGCACCACCCAGCCTCCGAGCATCACCCAGCCTCGAGGAGCACCATCCAGCCTCCAGGAGTTCACACCCAGCCTCCAGGAGCACCACCGAGCCTCCGGGAGTAATTCACCCAGCCTCCAGGGAGCACCACTCCAGCCTCCAGGAGCACCACCCACACTCCGGGAGCACCACTGAGCCTCCGGGAGCACCACCCAGCCTCCAGGAGCACCACCCAGCCTCCAGGAGCACCACCCAGCTCCAGGGGCACCACATCCAGCCTCCGGGGCACCACCCAGCCCTGAGCACCACCCAGCCTCCAGGAGCACCACCAGCCTCCAGGAGCACCACCCAGGCCCAGGGGCACCATCCAGCCTCCGGGGCACCCACCCAGCCTCCAGGAGCACCATCCAGCTCTCCAGGGTACCATCCAGCCTCCTGGGGCACCACTCCAGCCTCCAGGAGCACCATCCAGCCCCTCCGGGGCACCCACCCAGCCTCCAGGAGCACCACCCAGCCTCCAGGGCACCATCCAGCCCGCGGGCACCACCCAGCCTCCAGGAGCACCATCCAGCCTCCGGGCAATTCACATCACCCAGCCTGCAGGAGCACCACACCCAGCTCCGGGACCACCCAGCCCCCGGGAGCACCACCCAGCCTCCAGGAGCACCACCCAGCCTCCAGGAGTTAATTCACCTGTGTCTCCAGGAGCGCCACCCAGCTTCCAGGAGAGCACCCCACCCAGCCTCCGAACACCCACCCAGCCTCCGGGAGAGCACCACCCAGCCTCCAGGAGCACCACACCCAGCCTCCGGGGCACCCACCCAGCCTCCAGGAGCACCACCCAGCCTCCAGGAGCACCACCCAGCCTGGAGCACCACCCAGCCTCCGGGGCACCCACCCAGCCTCCCGGGAGCACCACCCAGCCTCCAGGAGCACCACCCAGCCTCCAGGAGCACCACCACCCAGCTCCGGGGCACCACCCAGCCTCCGGGAGCACCCTCACCCAGCCCAGGAGCAATCTCACCCAGCCTCCGGAACACCACCTGTTTCCGGAGCACCACACTCCAGCCTCCAGGAGCACCACCCAGGCCTGGGCACCCGCTACACCCAGCCTCCGGGAGCACCCACCCAGCCTCCAGGAGCACCACCCAGCCTCCAGGAACACCACTCAGGCCTCCGGGAGCACCACTCAGCCTCCGTGGGCACCCATCCAGCCTCCGGGGCACCCACCCAGCCCAGGGAGCACCATCCAGCCTCCGAGCACCATCCAGCCTCCGGGAGGGCACCACCCAGCCTCCGGGAGCACCACCCAGCCTCCAGGAGCACCATCCAGCCTCCAGGAGCACCACCCAGCCTCCAGGAGCACCATCCAGCCTCCAGGAGCACCATCCAGCCTCCGGGGGCACCACCCAGCCTCCGGGAGCACCACCCAGCCTCCGGGAGCACCACATCCAGCTCCGGGAGCACCCACCCAGCCCAGGAGCACCATCCAGCCTCCAGGAGCACCACCAGCCTCCAGGAGCACCACCCAGCCCCAGGAGCACCATCCAGCCTCCGGGGCACCACCCAGCCTCCGGGAGCACACCCAGCCTCCGGGAGCACCACCCAGCCTCCAGGGGCACCATCCAGCCTCCGGGGCACCACCCAGCCTCCAAGGACCACCCAGCCTCCGAGGCACCACCCAGCCTCCAGGAGCACCACCAGCCTCCAGGACACCACCAGCCTCGAGGAAACCACCCAGCCTCAGGAGCACCACCCAGCCTCCGGGAGCACCACCAGCCTCCAGGCACACCGGCACCACCCAGCCTCCAGCACCACCCACCTCCGGGGCACCACCAGCCGGGGCACCACCCAGCCTCCGGGAGCACCACCCAGCCCAGAGCACCACCCAGCCTCCGGGAGCACCACCCAGCCTCCGCCAGCAAGCACCACCAGCTCCAGGAGCACCACCCAGCCTCCGAGAGCACCACCAGCCTCCTCCGAGCACCACCCAGCCCAGGAGCACCATCCAGCCTCCAGGAGCAACCCAGCTCCGGGCACCACCCAGTTCGAGCACCACCCAGCCTCCAACCACCCAGCCTCCAGGAGCACCACCCAGCCTCCGGAGCCACCCCTCCAGAGCACCACCCAGCCCAGGAGCACCACCCAGCCTCCGAGAGCACCACCCAGCCTCCAGGAGCACCACCCAGCCTCCAGGAGCACCACCAGCCTCCCCACACCTCGGAGCACCACCCAGCCTCCAGGCACCACCACCCAGGAGCACCACCCAGCCTCCAGGAGCACCATCCAGCCTCCAGGAGCACCACATCCAGCCTCCGGGGCACCACCCAGCCTCCAGGAGCACCACCACCTCCCAAGCACCACCAGCCTCCGAGCCCACCCAGCCCCACACCAGCCTCCAGGAGCACCACCCAGCCTCCAGGAGCACCCCCAGCCTCCAGAGCACCATCCAGCTCCGGGGGCACCACCCAGCCTCCGAGCACCACCCAGCCTCCAGGCAAACCACCCAGCCCAGGGCACCACCCAGCCTCCGGAGCACCACCCAGCCCAGGAGCACCATCCAGCCTCCAGGAGCACCACCCAGCCTCCAGGAGCACCACCCAGCCTCCGGGCACCCACCACCCAGCCTCCGGGAGCACCACCCAGCCTCCGGACACCCCAGCCTCCGGGAGCACCACCAGCCTCCGGGGCACCATCCAGCCTCAGCACCACCCAGCCAGGGGCACCATCCAGCCTCCAGGCACCATCCAGCCGGGGCACCACCCAGCCTCCGGCAGCACCACCCAGCCCAAGAGCACCACCCAGCTCTGGAGCACCACCCGGCCTGGAGCACCACCAGCCCCGGGGGCATCCCCCAGCCTCCAAAAGCACCACCCAGCATCCAGGAGCACCACCCAGCCTCCACAGAGCACCACCCAGCCTGCTGGAGCACCACCCAGCCTCCAGGAGCACCATCCAGCCTCCAGGAGCACAACCCAGCTTCCAGGAGCACCACCCAGCCTCCAGGAACACCACCCAGCCTCCGAGACCACCACCAGCCTCCAGAAGCACCATCCAGCCTCTAGAGCACCACCCAGCCTCCAGGAGCACCACACCCAGCCTCCAGGAGCACCACCCAGCCTCCAGGAGCACCACCCAGCTTCCGGAAGAACCACCCAGCCTCCGGGAGCACCACCCAGCCTCCGGGGCATCCCCAGCCTCCAGGAGCACCACCCAGCCTCCAGGAGCACCATCCAGCCTCCGGGGCACCATCCAGCCTCCGAGCACCACCCAGCCTGAGCACCACGACGCCTCCGGGGCATCCCCAGCCTCCAGCCAAACCACCCAGCCTCCAGGTGCAGCATCCAGCCCAGCGACACCATCCACTCCAAGCACCATCCAGCCTCCGAGCACCATCCAGCCGGGGGCACCACCCAGCCTCCAGGAGCACCACCCAGCCTCCGGGAGCACCACCCAGCCTCCTGGAGCACCACCCAGCCCAGGAGCACCATCCAGCCTGGGGCACCACCCATCCTCCGGGAGCACCACCCAGCCTCGGGGAACCACCCATCCTCCGAGAGCACCACCCCCACCCCGGGGCATCCCAGCCTCCAGCAAACACCCAGCCATAGGAGCACCATCCAGCCTCCGGGGCACTGCACCCAGCCTCCGAGAGCACCATCCACCTCCAGGAGCGCGTCCACCCTCCTGAAACACCACCCAGCCTCCAGGAGCACCACCCAGCCTCCTGGAGCACCATCCAGCCCAGGAGCACCATCCAGCCTCGAGGGCACCACCACCCAGCCTGGAGCACCACCCAGCCTCCAGGAAAACCATCCAGCTCCAGGAAAACCCCAAGGCTCTGGGAGCACTACCCAGCCTCCGGAGGCACCTCCGAGCCTCCAGGAGCACCATCCAGCCTGGGGCACCATCCAGCCTCCGGGGCACCATCCAGCCTCCAGGAGCTCCACCCAGCCTCCTGGAGCACCATCCAGAACCAGGAAACCACCAGCCCAGGAACCACCCAGCCTCGGGAGCACCCAGCCTCCGCCCATCCAGCCTGGGCACCTTCCAGCCTCCGGAGGCCCACTCAGCCTCCGGGGCACCACCCAGCCTCCCTGGGCACCATCCAGCCTCAGCATCATCCAGGGCCAGGGCCCATCCAGCCCAGGAAACCACAGCCTCACAGGTGCACCCTCGGCCTCCAACCCCAGCCCAGGAAACCAGAGCCCCCACCACCAAAGAAACCATCCAGCTCCAGGAGACCACCCAGCTCCGGCGGCACCATCCAGCCTCCGGGCACCTTTCCAGCCTCCGGGAGGCCCATCACCTGAGCCGGGCACCATCCAGCCTCCTGCACCATCCAGCCCGGCATCATCCAGCCTGGGGCACCATCCAGCCTCAAGGAAACCACACAGCCTCAGGGCCGGGCACCCCAGCCCAGGAAACCCGGCAGCCTCCAGGGAAACCACACAGCCTCCAGGAACCATCCAGCCTCCAGGAGCACCCCCCAGCCTGGGAGCACCCAGCCCCGGAGCACTACCCAGCACCGGGCACCAGCCAGTTCCGGGGCACCATCCAGCCTCCTGGGCACCATCCAGCCTCCATGGGCATCATCCAGCCTCGGGGCACCCATCCAGCCTCCAGGAAACCAGCCCAAGGTGCACCCGGCCGGGGCACCTCCCCAGCCCAGTGAGGCCGAAACCACACAGCCTCCAGGAAACCATCAGCCCAGGAGCACCACCCAGCCTCCAGGAGCACCCAGCCTCCAGGAGCACCACCCAGCCCTGGAAGAACCACCCAGCCTCCTGGAGCACCACCCAGCCTGGGCACCACCCAGCCTCCAGGAGCACCACCAGCCTGGGAGCACCATCCAGCCCTGGGGCACCATCCAGCCTCTGAGCACCACCCAGCCTCCTGGAGCACCACGAGCCTCCGAGAATCCCCAGCCCACAGCCAAACCACCCAGCCTCCAGGGGCAGCATCCAGCCTCCAGCAACACCATCCAGCCTGGGGCACCATCCAGCCTGGGGGCACCATCCAGCGCTGGGGGCACCACCCAGCCTCCGGAGCATCACCCAGCCTGAGCACCACCCAGCCTCCAGGAGCACCAACCAGCCTCCAGGAGCACCACATCCAGCCTGGGGGCACCCACCCATCCTCCGGGAGCACCACCCAGGCTTCAGGGGAACCACCCATCCTCCGAGAGCACCACCCAGCCTCGGGGCATCCCCAGCCTCCAGCAAAAACACTCCAGCCAATAGGAGCACCATCCAGCCTCCGGGGCTCACCCAGCCTCCGAGAGCACCATCCACCTCCAGGAGCGCCGTCCACCTCCCTGAAACACCACCAGCCTCCAGGAGCCCACCCAGCTCCTGAGCACCATCCAGCCTCCAGTTGCACCATCCAGCCTGGGAGGCACCACCCAGCCTCCGGGAGCACCACCCAGCCTCCAGGAAAACCATCCAGCTTCCAGGAAACCCCATAGCCTCTGGGAGCACCACCCAGCCTCCGGAGCACCTCCCAGCCTCCAGGAGCACCATCCAGCCTCCGGGGGCACCATCCAGCCTGGGGGCACCATCGAGCCTCCAGGAGCTCCACCCCAGCCTCCTGAGCACCATCCAGAATGCAGGGAAACCACCCAGCCTCCAGGAAACTCACCCAGCCTCCGGGAGCACCGCACCCAGCCTCCGGCGGGCACCATCCAGCCTGGGGGCATCCTTCGGCCCGGAGGCGCCTCCGGGCACCATCCAGCCTCCGGGCACCATCCAGCCTCCATATCCACTCCGGGGCACCATCCAGCCCAGGAAACCACACAGCCTCAAGGTGCACCTCGGCCTCCTGGGCACCTCCCAGCTCCAGGAAACCAGGCAGCCCCAGGAAACCACACAGCCTCAAGAAACCATCCAGCCTCCAGGAGCACACCCAGCCTCCGGCGGGCACCATCCAGCCTCCGGGGCAACTTCCCAGCCTCGTGAGGCTCCATCGAGCCTGGGGCACCATCCAGCCTCCTTGGGCACCATCCAGCCTCCTGGGCATCATCCATGCCTCCGGGGCACCACATCCAGCCCTCAAGGAAACCACACAGCCTCAAGGTGCACCCTCGGCCTCTGGGGGCACCTCCCAGCTTCCAGGGAAACCAGGCAGCCTCTAGGGAAACCACACAGCCTCCAGGGAAACCCATCCAGCCTCCAGGAGCACCCCCCAGCCTCCGGGAGCACCTCCAGCCTGGGAGACCACCCAGCCTCCGGGGGCACCAGCCACCTCCGGGGCACCATCCAGCCTCCTTGGGCACCATCCAGCCTCCATGGGCATCATCCAGCCTCCGGGGCACCATCCAGCCCAGGGAAACCACAGCCTCAAGGCACCTCGGCCTCCGGGGCACCCCCCAGCCCAGGAAACCAGGCAGCCTCAGGGAAACCACACAGCCTAGGGGAAACCATCCAGCCTCCAGGAGCACCACCCAGCTCTGGAGCACCACCCAGCCTCTAGGAGCACCACCCAGCCTCCGGAAGCACCACCCAGCCTCCAGGGAGCGCCATCCAGCCTCCAGGAACACCATCCAGCCTCCTGGGGCACCATCCAGCTTCCAGGAACACCATCCAGCCTCCGGGAACACACCCAGCCTCCAGGAGCACCACCCAGCCTCCAGGAGCATCCAGCCTCCAGCAGCACCACATCCAGCCTCCGGGGGCACCATCCAGCCTCCGAGGGCACCATCCAGCCGCTGGGGGCACCACCCAGCCTGGGAGCACCACACCCACCTGGGAGCACCACCCACCAGGACACCATCCAGCCTCCGGGCACCACATGCAGCCTGGGGCACCATCGAGCCTCCAGGAGCCCACCCAGCCTCCTGGAGCACCATCCAGCCTCCAGGAAACCACCCAGCCTCCAGGAAACCACCAGCCTCAGGGAGCACCACCCAGCCTCCGGGCACCATCCAGCCTGGGCACCTTCCAGCCCAGAGGCTGCATCGAGCCTCCGGGGCACCATCCAGCCTCCCTACCATCCAGCCTCCAGGAGCGCCATCCAGCCTCCAGGAACACCAGCCAGCCTCCAGGAGCACCACCCAGCCTCCTCGAGCACCACCCAGCCTCCGGGGGCACCTCCCAGCCTCCGGGAGCACAACCCAGCCTCCGGAAGCACAACCCATCCTCCAGGAGCACCATCTTTCCTCCGGGGGCTTTACCCAGGCTCCGGGAGCACCATCCACCCTCCAACCCAGCCTCCAGGAGCACCACCCAGCCTCCAGGAGCACCACCCAGCCTCCAGGAGCACCATCTTTCCTCCGGGGGCTTTACCCAGGCTCCGGGAGAACCATCCACCCTCCAGGAGCACCATCCAGCCTCCGGGGGCACCACCCAGCCTGGAGTACCACCCAGCCCAGGAGCACCATCCAGCCTCCAGGAGCACCACCCAGCCTCCAGGAGCACCATCCGGCCTCCAGGAGCACCATCCAGCCTGGGGCACCACCCAGCCTCCTGAGCACCACCCAGCCTCCAGGAGCGCCATCCAGCTTCAAAGAACACCAGCCAGCCTCCAGGAGCACCACCAAGACTCCAGGAGCACCATCCAGCCTCCAGCAGCACCATCCAGCCTCCGGGCACCATCCAGCCTCCGGGGCACCATCATCCAGGCCTCAGGGGCACCATCCAGCTGCCGGGGGCACCACCCAGCCTCCAGCACCACCCAGCCCAAGAGCACCACCCAGCCTGGGAGCACCACCCGGCCTCCGGGGAGCACCACCCACCTGGGGCATCCCCTGCCTCCAGAAGCACCACCCAGCGTCCAGGAGCACCACCCAGCATCCAGGCGCACCTCCCAGCCTCCTGGAGCACCCACCCACCTTCCAGGAGCACCATCCAGCCTCCAGGAGCACAACCCAGCCTCCAGGAGCACCCACCCAGCTTCCAGAGCACCACCCAGCCCAGGAACACCACCCAGCCCGGGACCACCACCCAGCCTCCAGCACCATCCAGCCCAGGAGCACCACCCAGCCCAGGAGCACCACCCAGCCGCCAGGAGCACCATCCAGCCTACAAGAGCACCACCCAGCCTGGAAGCACCACCCAGCCCAGGAGCACCACCCAGCCTCCGGGGCATCCCCAGCCTCCAGGAGCACCACCCAGCCTCCAGGAGCACCATCCAGGCCTCCGGGGCACCATCCAGCCTCCGGGAGCACCAACCAGCCTCCTGGAGCACCACCAAGCCTCAGGGGGCATCCCCCAGCCTCCAGTTAAACCACCCAGCCTCCAGGAGCACCATCCAGCCTCCCGGGGCTTCATCCACCCTCCAGGAGCACCTTCCAACTTCCGGGGGCACTACCCAGCCTCCGGGAGCACCATCCCGCCGCCAGAATCGCAATCCAGCCTCCACGAACACCAGCCAACCTCCAGGAGCACCACCCAGCCTCCGGGAGCACTACCCAGCCTCCAGGAGCACCATCCAGCCTCCGGGCGCATCCCCCAGCTCAGGGCACCACCCAGCCTCCAGGAGCACCATCCAGCCTTCGGGGGCACCACCCATCCTCCGGGAGCACCACCCAGGCTTCGGGGGCACCACCCATCCTCCGAGAGCACCACCCAGCCTCCGGGGGCATCCCCCAGCCTCCAGCAAAAACACCCAGCCACTAGGAGCACCATCCAGCCTCCGGGGGCTTCACCCAGCCTCCGAGAGCACCATCCACCCTCCAGGAGCGCCGTCCACCCTCCTGAAACACCACCCAGCCTCCAGGAGCACCACCCAGCCTCCTGGAGCACCATCCAGCCTCCAGTTGCACCATCCAGCCTCCGAGGGCACCACCCAGCCTCCGGGAGCACCACTCAGCCTCCAGGAAAACCATCCAGCCTCGGGGGCACCACCCAGCCTCCAGGGCACCCAACCTCAGGAGCACCATCCAGCCGCCAGGAGCACCCATCAGCCTCCAGGGGAGTTCCTGCCCAGCCTCCGAGCACCATCCACCCACTCCAGAGCGCCATCCACCCTCCAGGAATATCATCCAGCCTCCAGGAACAACCACCCACCCTCCTGGAGCACCACCCAGCCGCCAGGGAGCACCATCCAGCCTCCGAGGGGCACCACCCAGCCTCCGGGAGCACCACCCAGCCGCCAGGAGCATCCAGCCTCCGAGGGCACCACCCAGCCTCCGGGAGAACCAAGCCCAGCCTCAGGGAGCCACCACCCAGCCGCCAGGAGCACCATCCCTCCAGGAACACCACCCAGCCGCCAGGAGCACCACCCAGCCGCCAGGAAGCCATCCAGCCTCCAGGAGCACCACCCAGCCTCAGGAAAAGCAACCAGCTTCAGGAAAATCTCACAGCCTCTGGGAGCACCACTCAGCCTCAGGGCACTGCCTCCCAGCCTTCAGGAGCATCATCCAGCCTCAGGGCACCATCCAACCTCCAGGGGCACCTCCCAGCCTTCAGGAGCACCACCCAGCCTCGGGAGCACCACCCAGCCTCAGGGGCACCTCCAGCCTTCAGGAGCATCATCCAGCCTCAGGGGCTGCATCCAGCCTCGGGGGCACCTCCCCAACCTTCGGGAGCACCACCCCGCCTCGGGAGCACCACCCAGCCTCGAGAACTGCCACCCAGCCTCCAGGAGCACCATCCAGCCTCCAGCAAACCATCCAGCCTCGGGAGGCACCACCCAGCCTCCGGGAGTACCACCAGCCTCCGGGGCACCACCCAGCCTCCGGGAGCACCATCAACCTCAGGAGCACCACCCAGCCTCCAGGAGCAGCATCCAGCCTCAGGAGCACCACCCAGCTTCAGAACACCTTCCAGCATCCAGGAGCACCACACCCAGCTTCCAGGAACACCATCCAGCCTCAGGAGGCACCACCCAGCCCCAGAACACCATCCAGCTGGGAGCACCACCCAGCCTCCAGGAGCGCCATCAGCTTCAAGGGGTACCATCCAGCCTTCAGGGCACCATCCAGCTTCAGGAACACCATCCAGCCTCGGGAACTGCTACAGCCTCCAGGAGCACCACCCAGCCTCCAGGAGGCCTGCCCAGCCTCTGGGGGCACCATCCAGCACCTCAGGGCACCACTTAGCTTGGGGCACCATCAGCCTCCGAGGGGGCACCATCCAGCTTCCAGGGAGCACCATCAGCCTCCGGGGTACCACACCCAGCCTCCAGGGAGCACCACCAGCCTCCAGGCAGCATCCATATCAACAGCACCATCCAGCCTCCGGGGGCACTATCCAGCCTCCGAGGGCACCATCCAGCCGCTGGGGGGGGCACCACCCAGCCTCAGGAGCACCACAGCCTCCGGAGCACCATCCAGCCTCGGGAGCACCACCCAGCCTCCAGGGCAATCGCTTCAGGAACCATCCAGCCTCAGGGTCACCATCCAGCTTCCAGGAACACCATCCAGCCTCCAGGAACACCACCCAGCCTCCCAGAGAGCACCACCCCAGCCTCCAGGAGCAGCATCAGCCTCCAGCAGCACCATCCAGCCTCCGGGGGCACCATCCAGCCTCCGAGGCACCATCCAGCCGCTGGGGGCACCACCCAGCCTCCGGGAGCACCACCCAGCCTCGGAATACCGCAGCCTCCAGGGGCACCATCCAGCCTCAGGAACACCAGCCAGCCTCAGGAGCACCACCTAGCCTCCAGGAGCTGCCATCAGCCTCCAGCAGCACCATCCAGCTTCGGGAACACCAGCTAGCCTCAGGGGTACCACCCAGCCTCAGAAGCACCATCCAGCCTCCAGCCTCACCATCAGCCTCCGGAAGCACCATCCACCCTCCAGGAGGCGCCGTCACCCTCCAGGAACACCACCCAGCCTGCAGAAGCACCACCCAGCCTCCTGGAGCACCATCCAGCCTCCGAGGCACTACCCAGCCTCAGGGAAATATCCAGCTTCCCGAGAGGAAAACCCCACAGCCTCTGGGAATCACCCACTCAGCCTCCGGGGGCATCTCCCAACCTCCAGGCACCATCCAGTCTCCCGGGGGCACCATCCAGCCTCAGGGGCACCATGAGCCTCAGAAGCACCATCCAGCCTCCAGGAGGCATCACCCAGCCTCCAGGAGCACCGTCCAACCTCAGGAGCATACCATCCAGCTTCGAGAACACCAGCCAGCCTCAGGGAGCACCACCCAGCCTCCAGGAGCACCATCCAGCCTCCAGGAGCACAGCCCAGCTTCCAGGAGCACCATCCAGCCTCCAGAGCACCACAGCCTCCAGAGGCACCATCCAGCCTCAGGAGCACCACCCAACCTCCAGGAGCAGTCCAAACTCAGGAGCACAGCCCAGCTTCCAGGAGCACCATCCAGCCTCCAGAGCACCACCCAGCTTCCGGAAGCACCACCCAGCCGCCGGGAGCACCACCCAGCCTCGGGGGCATCCCCAGCCTCCAGGAGCACCGCAGCTGCTCAGGAGCACCATCCAGCCTCGGGGGCACCATCCAGCCTCGGGACCACCACCCAGCCTCCCTGGGCACCACCCAGCCTCAGGAGCACCACCCAGCCTCCAGGAGCACAGCCCAGCCTCCAGGCGCAGCATCAGCCTCCAGCAGCACCATCAAGCCTCGAGGCACCATCCAGCCTCCGGGGGCTTCACCCAGCCTCCGAGCACCATCCAGCCTCCAGGAGCGCCGTCCACCCTCAGGAACACCACCCAGCCTCCCAGGAGCACCACCCAGCCTCCTGGAGCACCATCCAACCTCCAGGAGCACCATCCAGCCTCGAGCACCACCCAGCCTCGGGAGCACCATCCACCCTCAGAAAACCATCCAGCTTCCAGGAAAACCCCACACAGCCTCTGGGAGTACCACTCAGCCTCGAGGGGGCACCTCCCAGCCTCAGGAGCACCATCCTGCCTCCGGGGGCACCATCCAGCCTCCCGGGGCACCATCCAGGCCTCCAGGGCCTGGCCTCCTGGAGCACAAAGCAAAATCAGGAAACCACCCAGCCTCCAGAAAGTACAGCCTCGGGAGCACCACCCAGCCTCGGGCACCATCCAGCCTCGGGGGCAAATTCCCGGCCTCGGAGAAATCATCACTCTCAGAGGCACATCCAGCCTCCTTGCGCACCATCCAGCCTCGGAGGTATCATCCAACCTCAGGGCACCATCCAGCACTCAGGGAAACCACACAGCCTCAGGGTACACCCCCTCGGCCTCGAGGCACCTCCCAGCTTCCAGGAAACCAGGCAGCCTCAGGAAACCACACAGCCTCCAAAAGCCATCCAGCCTCCAGAGCACCGCAGCCTCCGGGAGCACCCAGCCTCGGGAGGCACTACCCAGCCACGGGGCACCATCCAGCCTCCAGGGGGCCACCACCTCCCAGCCTCCTTGGGCACCATCAGCCTCCAGGGGCACCACCCAGCCTCCAGGAGCACCACCCAGCCTCCGGGGCACCATCCAGCCTCCTTGGTCACCATCCAGCCTCCGGGGCATCGTCCCGCAGCCACCGGGGGCACCATCCAACTCGGGGCACCATCCAGCCTCCTTGGGCACCATCCAGCCTCAGGAGCACCACCCAGCCCCTCCGGGGGCACCATCCAGCCTCCTTAGGCACCATCCAGCATCGGGGGCATCATCCCAGCCACCGGGGGCACCACCCAACCTCCAGGGGCACCATCCAGCCTCCTTGGGCACCATCAGCCTCTGGAGCACTACCCACACCACCGGGGGCACCATCCAGCCTCGGGGGCACCATCCAACCTCGCCGGGCACCATCCAGCCTCAGGGCACCACGCTACCAGGGAGCACCCAGCCTCAGGAGCCACCACCCAGCCTCCAGAGGCTGTCAGCCTCAGGGGCACCACCCAGCCTCCGGGGGCACCATCCCAGCCTCCTTGGGCACCATCCCGGCCTCCGGGGCACCATCCAGCCTCAGGGCACCATCAGCCTCCGGGGCATCATCCCCCCCTCCGGGGCACCATCCAGCTACTCAGGGCACCATCCAGCCTCGGGGCATCATCCCGCCTCAGGGGCACCATCAGCCTCCCAGGAAACCACACAGCCTCAAGGTGCACCCTCGGCACTCGAGGCAGCACCTCCCAGCCTCCAGGAGCACCACCTACAGCCCCCTCCAGGAGCACCATCCAGCCTCCAGCAGCACCACCCAGCCTCCTGGAGCACCATCCAGCCTCAGCAGCACCATCAGCTCCAGAACACCAGCCAGCCTCAGGCGCACCACCCCAGCCTCCAGGGGCACCATCAGCCTCCAGCAGCACCATCCCAGCCTCGGGGGCACCATCCAGCCTCCGTGAGCTAAGCAACCAGCCTCCAGGGGCACCATCCAGCCTCGGGGCACCATCCAGCCTCCGGGGGCACCACTGCCAGCCTCCGGGGCACCACCCAGCCTCAGGGGCACCATCCAGCCTCAGGGGCACCATCCATCCTCGGGGAACACCATCCGAGCCTCAGGAGCTCCCTTAACCTCCTGGATCACCATCCAGCCTCAGGTAAACCACCCAGCCTCCAGGGGAAACCACCCAGCCTCAGGAGCTACAGCCTCAGGGAGCTACTACCCAGCCTCGGGGGCACCATCCAGCCTCCAGGAAACCACTTAGCCTCGGGGGGCACCATCCAGCCTCCAGGGAATCACCCAGCCTCCAGGAAACCATCCAGCCTCCAGGGAAACCATCAGCCCCTCGGGAGCACCATCCAGCCTCAGGAGCACTACCCCGGCTCTCTCCAGGGCACCACCCAGCCTCCAGGGGGCACCATCCAGCCTCAGGGGCACCATCCATCCTCCGGGGAGCACCATCCAGAACCTCCAGGAGCTCCACCCAACCTCCTGGATCTGTCAACCTCAGGTAAACCACCCAGCCTCAGGGGAAACCACCCAGCCTCCGGGAGCACCACCCAGCCTCCGGGAGCACTACCCAGCCTCAGGGGCACCATCCAGCCTCAAACCACCCAGCCTCGGGGCACCATCCAGCCTCAGGGAATCACCCCAGCCTCAGGAAGCCTCCAGCCTCAGGAAACCATCCAGCCTCGGGAGCACCATCCAGCCTCCAGAGCACTGCCCAGCCTCCGGGGCACCACATGTACTTCTCGGGGGCACCATCCCAACCTCGCCCAGGCACCATCCAGCCCAGAATCATCATCCAGCTTCCGGGGACAGCATCCAGCCTCGGGAACCACACAGCCTCAGGTGCACCCTCGGCCTCGGTACCTCCCAGCTTTCCAGGAAGCCAGGCAGCCCTGCGAGGGCACCTCCCAGCCTCGGGACACCACCCAGCTTCGGGAAGCACCCCACAACCTCAGGGCACCACCCAGCCTCAGGGAAATGCCCACAGCCTCAAGGGGCACCCCCCGGCCTCCCAGGCACCTCCCAGCTTCCAGGGTAGGCAGCCTCCAGGGAAACCACCCGGCCTCCAGGGCTGCCAGCCTCGGGGGAGCACCACCCAACCCGGGGAGGCACCACAGCCTCTGGGGGCACCATCCAGACTCCTTGGGCACCATCCAGCCTCCGGGGGCATCATCCAGCCTCAGGGGCACCACTAACCTCAGAAACCACACAGCTTCCAAGGGGCACCCTCGGCCTCGGGGCACCTCCAGCTTCCAGGAAAACCAAGGCAGCCTGCGGGGGCACCTCCCAGCCTCCAGGGGCCACCACCCAGCTTTCCTGGGCACCACCTTGTACTCAGGGAGCACTACCCAGCCTCCGGGGCACCACCCCTCAGGGGCACCACCCAGCCTCAGGGGCACCACGCAGCCTCAGGGGGCACCACCCAGCCTCAGGAGCACCACCCGGCCTCCAAGGCACCCGCAGCCTCCGGGAGCACCATTTAGCCTCGGGGCACCACCCAGCCTCGGGGCACCACCCCAGCCTCAGGGCACCACCCAGCCTCTGGGAGCACCACCCAGCCTCCAGGAGCACCACCCAGCTTCCAGAGCTGCAACCTCCAGGGGCACCACCCAGCCTCCCGGGGTGCACCGCACCAACCTCAGGAGCCTACCCACCCTTTCTGAGCACCACCCAGTCTCCACGAGCACCTCCCAGCCTCCAGCAGCTACCACGAAACCTCAGGAGTAGCACAGTATTATGCGTCTTCCATGTTTAAATATAAAGTACTGTTGAAATACTTTTAGGAACAGCATGGTAAACAGAGACATTAATCCCCAGAAAAAGTTATAAAGCAAATAAAGAGAGCTGCTATTTTCTTTATTGTCATTATACTCCGGTTGTTCAAGAACACAGATAGTTTCGTCATAAGTACAGTGTTTCCGGTGGTTCAACTCTCAGAAATGCCAGTTAAGGAGACGGCACTCCTTGTCACTTTTATTCGAAGTTGAATAATTCCTAGATGATGGATAAAATAGGTGGGTCTGTCTGTATCTATTCTAGATTGAGCTATACAATCTTTTGGGTAAAAACTCATCCTTCTCTAACATTTATATACATATGAAGACTACCTTTGCATTGCTGAGGCAAAGCAAAAATGTTGGAGATCAACGGATTAAAAAAATTAAGCATTGGATATACGGTGTATTGTATCGACTCAGAAGATGAAGTTAAAAACAGCATAATCTTTTCCACTACCCGGACATATATAGTGCGATTTTTTATTTATTTTTTATGAAGCTCCAACCCCTCCTACGTCGGATACTAACTGTATTATTTTTTAACAGCATTTACTGTATAACTAGCGACAAATTACTAACTCTACCTCGGGTATGTTTTGAGGACGACTCCCAGCTTACGTCCACTGACTACTATCAATACAACTTCTTCATCTACAACAATATTATACTTCATCCACTACACCATAACACTACAACAACTATACTATCATCTACGTTACATCCACTACACAATTACACAACAACAACTTCTCTAACTATACTACTTCCTCCAGCACTTTCATCTATCCTACACCTACTACCTATCATCTACGCTACATCCCTATATCCTGATTATTACACTAAATAGGGATAATTACCTAATATCGATAACTTCTATGTATCTTTTTTAACCTTCTAACTGGTCCACAGGCCATCGTACAGTTTATCATATTAGGTATACATGGAAATGTTTCAGAAACAAAAATTAAACTGACTTAACCTAACTTAATGAATATTATAACTCAATAATTATTTCTGTACTTTTAAACACAGGATGATAAATCATATGATATTATAATATATTCTCAAATGTAAATATCAATATAAGCATCGGTCAAACACTAATAAATTTAAAGGTGCCAAAACAACAGTAGAACATAAACTATACATATGAGAGGAAAACAAATACCATAGTGATAAGTGAAAGTAATAAATAACTAAATAAACCCTGAAACTAATTATATATGTTACGATGTTCTTTGTCTTCTATATTATATATTACTTATATTAAGTTATATGGTTACTGCAGCACATTCTCATTACATAAATTGAAACACACACACACACACACACACACACACACACACACACACACACACACACACACATATACAATATGTATGTGTTGGTATAATATTACTGCACTTCAACAACTAAGGTTTTTAAAAGGCATATACTAAATTAAGTAAATATATTAGGCATCAACAATTAAAAGTGAGAGAAATACATAGAGTGGTCTGGCATACACAACGAAGGTGGAATTTGGGGGTTGTCCCTTGGGTCTCTCCCTCCCTCCTGAGCCTCAATAGGTAGAAGAACCACCGCACAAGAGGCTCGTCTGAAGTATGTGGGGGCGCTCTACAGGGCAAACCTGAACATAAGGGACCGGCCTAGGCACGATCCCAGTTTTTATCATAGAGTTGAAAGTGGTCTGGTTATTTTTGGCCAAGGATGGTGAGGTGAAGATAGTGTAAGCATCCACTATTAGGAATTGAAGCAATATTGAGTAGTGGGTGGAGTGTTAGTGGAGTGTAGGTGATAGTGGGGTGAATAGTGTAGGTGATAGTTTATGCAGTGGTCCTTAAACTGGGAGGCGGTCAGAGAGAGAGAAAAAGTCAGGTCAGGAACTGAACGCGTCTTATACACGATTGCTCCATCCCTCCTACTCTATGGAACCAAGGGTTGCATCAGGGGTGTGGGGGGATCTAGGATATATGCAGAGGGGACGAGGCAAAAAGTTTAGGAACCACTGGTGTGGTGGATGTAGCGTCGGTGATGGTGTAGTGAATGTGGTGTAGGTAATAGTGTACTGACTGTGCTGTAGGTAATAATAGCCAGTGGATGTGGTGTAGGTGATAGTGCTTTTTTGACTGTGGTGTAGGTAATAATAATGTAGTGGATGTGGTGTAGGTGATAGTGTGTACCGACAGCAGTGTAGGAAATAATGTAGTGGATGTGGTGTAGGTGATAGCGTACTGACTGTGGTGTAGGTAATAATGTAGTGGATATAGATTGTAGGTGATAGTGTACCGACTGTGGTGTAGTGGCAAGTGTACTGACTTCTGTGGTGTAGGTAATAATGTAGTGGATGTGGTGTGGTGATAGTGTACTGACTGTGGTGTAGGCCAATAATGTAGTGGTGTGGTGTAGTGATAGTGTGTACTGTAGGTGTGGGTGTAGGTAATAATGCAGTGGATGTAGCGTCGGTGATGGTGTAGTGGATGTGGTGTAGGTGATGAATGTAGTGGATGTAGTATGGGTGATAGTGCAGTTGATGTACTGTAGGTAGTAGTGTGGTAGATGTGGTGTGGGTAATAATGTAGTGGATGTGGGGTGGCCAGGTGATGAGAGTGAACTGACTATGGTGTAGGTAATAATGTAGTGGATGTAGCGTCGGTGATGAGATTAGTGAATGTAGTTGTGGGTGATAGTGTACTGACTGTGGATTGCCAGGGTAATAATGTAGTGGATGTGGTGTGTGGGTGATAGTGTGTGTGGATGGGTGCCATTAATAATGTAGTGGATGCACTGTAAGTAATAGCATGAGTGGATGTGGGTAGGTGATGGTGTAGTGGTGGATGTGGTGTAGGTGATAGTGTAGTGGATGTGGTATGGAGGCCAATATGTAGTGGATGTGGTGTAGGTAATAGTGTAGTGGATGTGAATTGTAGGTGATAGTGTAAAAAGTGGATGTGGTGTAGGTAATAATGTAGTGGATGTAGGTGTAGGTTATAGTGTAGTGGATGTGGTGTGGTAATAATGTAGTGGATGTGGTGTAGGTGATGGTGTGCTGACTTTGTGGTGTGAGTAGTGAAGTGGATGTGGTGTAAGGGATAGTGTAGTGGATGTACTGCAGGTGATGGTGTGATGGATGTGGTGTAGGTAATGTAGTGGATGTGGTGTAGGTGATAGTGTACTGACTGTGGTGTAGGTGATGGTGTACTGACTGTGGTGTAGGTGATGGTGTACTGACTGTGGTGTAGGTAATAATGTAGTGGATGTGGTGTAGGTGATGGTGTACTGACTGTGGTGTAGGTGATAGTGTACTGACTGTGGTGTAGGTAATAATGTAGTGGATCTTGGTGTGGGTGATAGTCTTTTGTTGACTGTGGTGTAGGTAATGGCGTAGTGGATGTGGTGTAAGGTGATGAATGTGCTTTGACTGTGAGATTGTAAGGAGGTAATAATGTAGTGGATGTGTGGTGTAGGTGATAGTGTACTGACTGTGGCGTAGGTAATAATGTAGTGGATGTGGTGTAGGTGATAGTGTACCGACTGTGGTGTAGGTAATAATGTAGTGGATGTAGTCGGTATTAATTGTAGTGGATGTGGTGTAGGTGATGGTGTACCGACACCAATGGTGTAGAGTAATAATATAGTGGATGTAAGCGTCGGTAATAGTTGTAGTGGATGTGGTGTAGGTGATAGTGTACCGACTTTGTAATTAGCCAGGTAATAATGTGAGTGAAAGGATGTGGTGTAGGTGATGGTGTACTTTGACTTTGTAGTGTAGGTATAATGTAGTGATACTAACAACAGCAATAACTGTAAAAACAATAATAACAACAACAACAACAAGCATATAATAATTTTAGTATAAATAATGTAACATTTTTAACTGCTATTGTACACTTGACTAGACTTATACACACACACACACACACACTAAGGTTAATGTAACGGTTCCTAATATAAACTACTTTTATGTGTCGTTATGCTTTGGCTACCGGTAGAGACAGGATATATTTTGATTCGGATTTATTAAAGATTGGTGTTATATTTGAATAAGTTTTCCGGAGTTATGTTATGGTGTTTTTTTTTTAACTATCGGGTTATGTTGTCAGATTTGCTTGCTATAATAAACTCCTGTGTAAATGGTAGTAGTGGTGGTGAATGGTGGTGGTAGTGGTGAGTGTGAGGATAGTGGTGGTGGTGAATGGTGGTGGTAGTGGTGGTGAGGGATGGTGGTAGTCAGTGGGCAATTGGTGAGAGTAGTGGTGGTGAGGGATGGTAGTGTTAGTAGTCAGTAGTTAGTAATAGTGGTACTGGTGTTGATGAGTAATATTGGTTGTGATAGTTATAAGGGTGGTAAGTAATGATTGATTGTGGTAGTAGTAGATTTGTTAGTGGTAGCAGCCTTGGTAGTGATGGTACTAATGCTATAGATAAGATATATATATAATAGGTAGGTATGTTGGAAATTTTAAGTAGGTAAGGAGAGATGAAATACATAGCAGGTAGACGAGGAAAAAGATATACTATGTACGTAAAATAGGTCATGGTAGGTAGATCAGAGGGTAAGGTAGATCAGGGTGGTAGATAGGTGAGGGGGGACATTAAATACAGGTAGGTAAGACAGGTAGGGTGACACAGGTAAGAGGTGTAGGTGAGGTCAAGGTAGAGATAATTACTAATTGATCCACCATAAATGAATACTATGAACCTCTAAACTTGTACTACCACTAATACCAC